CAAAAAGCTTATATTATAGTAGAGGAGGGAAATTATAAAACAAATAGCCACATAAATATTGAATATAAGGTAGTGGCAGATCCAGTGAAAAAAATAAAACAGAATAGAGTGATAGGAGAAACTAAGGAGGGTGATCAGGGAGGTCTCCCCAACGAAGCACATTTGAGCATTTTGGGGGTGGCGTTCCCAGCAAAGGGAATTGCAAGTGCAAAGATCTGACGGCCGGATCAGGTTATTCAGTTATAATAGCAGCAGGGAGGCCAGTGTCGTTGGAGGTAAGTTCAGTTGTCACCAGGACCAGAGCACAAAGGACCTGATAGGCCCTGGTAAGCAGTAAAGAAATTATAAAAATATTCTTATTTTATATTCTGAATATAATTGACATAGATAATTCTTAGAAACAATAAAGACTATATCGTTCTCATTAGAGAGGTTATATATACAATTTTTCTAAAAAATTTCAATAGCTTAAAATGATAACCTCCCATTTGACACACTCTGCATTATTATAAAAAGGTAATATTTATAAAATTAATTAACGGCTTCATAAAGCTTTTCAACGGCCACTCTTTTTTTTTAATTTTTATTTTTTTAGAGGTAGAGTCTCACTCTGTCTCCCTCTGGGCTAGAGTGCAGCGGCATCATCATAGCTCACTGCAACCTCCAACTCCTGGGCTCAAGCAATCCTCCTGCCTCAGTCTCCTGAGTAGATGAGACTACATGCATGCATCACTGCTTCTGGCTAATTTTTTCTATTTTCAGTAGAGACGGGGTCTCATTCTTGCTCAAGCTGGTCTCAAACTCCTGGGATCAAGTGATCCTCCCACCCCAGCCTCCCATAATGCTAGGATTACGGGCTTGAGCTACTGCACCTGGCCACAGAGCCACTCTTAAGCCTTTGATAGTTGCTCCATGTCCTTTGGAATTGACATGTCACTATCCTTGCCACTGTTTTATTCTCTGGTTGTTACTGCCAAAGCCTCACTTCTCACCAGTTTTGAATGTGATTTAAGCTGTTCTGAAACATCACTTCCATTGACTTTATGAAATCCTGACTCTTGCAAAAATTAAAATTTCACTTAGGAATCAATTTACATTGCATCTTCATTTTATTGTTGGATGAATCAGAGAGAGATTGCCAGACAAAGGTGGATTTGATGCACACTAGCTTTACTTGGGGAAGGATGTTCAAATGGAGACCAGTATCATTAACAATGATAAATAGTCTGACAATAGCATGTATTTTTGGTATCATGACTTTGTTTTCCTGGGCACACTGGAATCTCTGGGTGCTCAGCTATTGAACATTCAGGTAATCAGAACTCTCTTTTTATGTCGTCATTTATTGGGGTTGAGGAAGAAAAGGATTAAAGGAGAGGAAATCAGACAGAGTTTTTTTTTTTTTTTTTTTTTTTTCTCAAAATTATCTTTTCAAGCAGTAGTTTTCTCTTTCACAAGGAAGCCTGGTCCTTCTCAAGGGTACTGGCAGGAAGCTACGAGTCACCGTGTCCAGGCCAGTAGAGCAGGCCTCTGTTGACTTCCTGGCATTGTCAAGATTCTGGCTTTTTGCTCCAGTGTCTTGCAGAAAGTGATTTCTCAGAATTGTTCCTCTAGGGATGTGCAAGTATTTTAAATTGGAGAGTTGCAAAGTGAGCACAAAGCCATTCTGGATAAAGCCAATTCTATCCAAAGCAGCCCATCCATATTTAGTAAAGTTTTCAATTTTATTGTTCTTTAAAAAAACACAATAAACAATAAACGCCATGCCATCATAGGAAGAAGAAAGAAAATATCATCTGTAAGCACAGCAGTGTTGGTCATCCTGTTCCAAACTTTGTTTATGTATTCTTATTTATTTTAATAATAACAATGGAAATGATGGTAATAGCTAGAATTTATTTACCTTTTTTTTTTTTTTTGGTTTGTTTGCCAGGCATGTCATTTAGTCTCCCTAAGAATTCATGAGATAGGTCATTATTATCTCCAATTTACAGATGCAAACATTGAGGCATTGAGTGGTTACCCAGGTTTAAACTACTAGTAAGTAGTGGGTCTTGACCACTGGCAACTCTGGAAATTTCTTTCTTGACCACTATACTATTGTTTTATATTGTGCATATAGCCAATTCATTAGAATTAAAATTTTTCCAATTATAATAAAGAAACTATTGATATTAAATCTGAAATTCAGATGTTGGTTTAAGAACATGGCTAGAAAAAGTAAAACATTAAAACTTTTAACATGTAAATAAATGAATCATATTCAAATTTAGCATCTTTATTTTCCCCTTGTTTATATTGTATAAAATACGATTGTACATATAATGTATACATTATATGTTATTAATATATATGCATACATACATCATATATATGCTAAAAAATTTGATAACTGAGCCTGTGTCTGTTTTGCTCATAACTGTGGGACAGTAATAAGCATATAGAATCATTTGTTTATTTATTCATCTGTTCAATAACTATGCCAGTTAAACCCTTTGCGTTTTTTTCCTGACATACTCAGGGGCTCTTTTCTCAAACTTTCTAGTTATATATAACGTTAATTGATGATATATTTAACACAAAATTATTTTGATATTCAATGAGTTTGAAGAACACTGATTAAAAACAGATGAAATACTTTTCTTTGCTCTCGAATGTGCATTGTAAATTTATAATATGCCTTGTATTCAAAAACTTATTTTTGACCATGTCCCTTTTTAAAAATTTTCCTGGACCATCTGGAGACTAGAATTTCACTGCCACTTGGGAAACACTGGTCTAGAATTTACTTCTTCATAAACTCCAATTTTAATTTTTTTGCTCCTCTTTTTGAACTATCCTTGAATTGCTGTTACATCAAGCTGAAAGTCTCCAAAATAACAGTATGTTGTATGATATTCATCAGTATTGTCCTATTCCAAGTTGAATAGTATAAAACATTTTACAAAGCCTCTTATAAAGACAATTTCTAAATCTGATTTAAGATGAAAACAAATGTTATAAGAATTAATTGAGAAGTAAAAATTAAAATGGTTGATTTTCTTTTATACTGTTAAATAACAAATTTCTTTCCCCTGGGATGTTTTTGGTGTTTAACCACAATCAACCAATTGTTTTCATTGTATATGAGTACTACCTAAAACCTAATTTTAGTCCTTACTGTTCATGAGTTGCTGAGAATTATTTCTTTTCTTTGGACATTAATGAATATTGCATTTATTGAGTACATTTGTTATTTCATTTTATTTTCAAAGAGCCCACATTATTTCATATACTTGTCCAAGTCCTATTTCAAAGTTAAAAGCATTACACTTTCCATTCTAAATGAATCACTGGGAACATTCATATGAGAAAAGCATGATCTTTCTTGACATTGGAACATCTGGAACCAGCACCGTATCCAATGAGCACCCGGGGTTTCTAGAAACTGACAACTTTTAAATCTACAAAACCAAGAAGGCTGAATATAGACGTACCTTTATCTGTTTCAGGAAACAAAGAACAGACCTCAATTTGAGATGGTTAAATAATGAATATAGTGAAATCAGCTTTGCCTGTCACTGTCGAGTCTAATTCATACAAGATAAGGGGTGGCATAGGAACATATATGTACAATATAGTTAAGCATCCAAAGTATTAATATTTCTGAACTTATTTTAATCTATAGAATTTGAGCCTAAGACCATATTAGGTTTTAATTCTGCTGATTTAAAAAATGTTTGGAGAGAGAAAAGTAAAATTGCAAAGAAACTTAAAGCTGTTTTTCTAAGAAAACTCAATTTCGATTTTCAAAGTATAACTGTTTTTTCAAAGTTAAAAAAATAGTTCTCAGACAGATGTAGGCAGGCATCAGAGATCTTTTCACTTATTAATGAGGAAAACTGTAAGATGGTGAAGAGGGTTCCAAGAGCATTTTGAGGATCTGAGTATTTACAGGCATTTAGAAAGAATGTCAGTTTGGTTAGATGCAAAATTGGTTCATTTCCTACAGTGTAATAAAACCATACACACTGCGATTATGTTTTCCTCTGGACAGGTTAAATAAAATGTGCAAACTAACATGTAACTTCACTGTGGCTGGGATCTAATCAATAGTGAGTTGCAAAGTCAAACTCAAGTATATTCTCCTACAGGTAACTAGCCCTTGGGTGGACCTGTTAATCAATGTCTCAGTGTAACACTGAAATGTAATTCTCCTTCCCCTTATTTCCAAGTTTTGATGATTTTTCTAACTATCCACAAATTTTAAAAATCGAGTGCTTTTGTTATAAGTTAACTCATTGGCTTATATAGTTTGGACTACAAATCACCATCCCAGCTGCTTCTGGGAGTGGGAATAAAGAGGGGGTGGGGATCTTATTTCAAAATTCAAATACACAGCTTTCATGGACGGCTGCTCCTTCCATATCCAGGCCAACATGGCAGGAGAAGTGAACAATGGAAAGAGGGCAGGACAACTATCCCCAGGGGAATGAAGCGAGTGGGAGCTGACAGTCTTTCCTCGCCCCAGCAGGGCTGCCTTTATTCAAAGGACAGCGTTCCTGGGTTCGGTCTCTCCATCCCTTGCAAAGGTGCTGGGGCGCCTGGCTTCCGCGGGCTGCTCTGCTCCGGGCGCAGCAAGCCCCACCCCTTGCCCGGCGGCGCCCTAATCACCAGCTAACGGCTGGGGTAAATCCTCCACTCGCCCTGCGTGGGCTCATTCACAGCTCTGCAGTCCGGGGCTGGGCGCTTCCTCTTTGGGACCGAAATAACAGAGCGCAGACAGATCGGGTGTGATGCAGCGAGCCCTCCTTCAGAGAGGCTCTTCTTCCTAGGCAATAAAAAAAAAAAAAACCAAAACCAAAAAAAAAAAAAAAGCACACAATAAAAATAAAACACAAAACACCAGCAATGTCCCCCTCCCCCTTCTCGTTCCCTCTTAGCTTTTTTTTTTTCTTGATCGGTGGATGAACCTCTCCCAGCCTCCCTCCCTGGGGGTTGGGGTGGGGAGTGGGGGAGAGCTCGGTGGAACTGGCAGGAGACGTCTGCAAGAAAGCGAGTCTCCCGGGTGTCTCAGCACTCGGGCAGAAGCAGCGGGCTTTGTCACGGCCAGCCCCGGGGGCGGCCGGCACCACGCGCCCAGGACTAACCGCGGGCCGGCCGGCGAGGCCCGGGGCGCGCGGCTCCTCTCCAGGTGCTGCGTGCCGGATCCCGGGGTCCCGGCCCCGCCCCGCGCTGTCCCCGCAGCCTCGCGGGCTGCCGGGCTTTGTGGTTCGCCCGCGCGGCTGGGCCCCTGCTGGGGGTGTCGTTGCGAGCATGTGCAGACAGCAGCCCAAGGTAGAGCGAGCGTGCCGGGCGAGCCCGGGGACTTGCCTTGCAATGCCATGTTTGTGTGCGTGCTCTAACTCCCGGAGAGCAGTCAGGGAGACGGCTCCCCGGCCGGGCTTGGCTGATGTTTTCTTGTTTCTGTTTCAGCCTTCAGGATAATTCCTTCAGCAGCGCCGCTGTAACAGAGTAAGTGGTTCTCGCGGTTAAATTTAGACTTGCATGCCTTTCTCTGGAAGCAACTAGCGCGAAGGTGTCCTCTTCTGCCGTCCCCAGCCGCTCGCTGTTCGTGCGGGATGCATTGTCTCCTGGAATCGGGGAGACGTGCGGAATGCTGGGGCCCACAAGTCTTTACAGGTTGAAATCAGCATTTTAAAGCAGATGCAGGAGAGATATTAAAACCAGCTGATTGCTTGCGGGAGCTCGATGCTCAAAGATGATATGTGTTTCTGGGAGCTCAGATCTTTAAAAAAAAAAAAAAATCTATTTGACATGTCAGAAAGAAAGCTTTGTTGTATTTTGCCAACATTGGCGTCGGTTTTCATGGAGTGCACGCGGCACACATTTACGGCAATGGGAGATGGATGTGAAATGACTTGAGTTGAATTCCAGCATGCGATAAACAGCCTAAACTTGTCTTTGCTCTCTCTTGTCTGCAGATTTTTAAGACACACAGAGTAAACTTTTCTTGCAGTGACCTTTGTCATTTTTATCGTCTGACCTGAAAGATCTACCTATAGGAGGAATGAGTCACCTGGTGCTATGGTTAAAGCTGTTGATTAGGGCGACTAACACCATTTAAACATGGAATGGAGTGTGATGTTCCATTTAAGGCTAGCAGACACAGTGTTTTTGTTTTTTTTTTTTTTTTACTAGATTTTTAGAGTTCATAGTGTTACTTCGTCACCTCTTAATATGTTTTTCTAATATTATACATATATGTTAAAATTAATAGGTAGTATATTTTTCTAATACTATATATAATTTACATAGAATTTTTATATATGTGTGAATTATGTATATTTCATCTAGCATTCTTCCTCTCGGCTAATTCATGATGTTTACTCCTGGGACTTTTTGTAGGAGTCACTCTAAACAGCTTTTCAGGAAAAAGCCATGTGTAAAGTTGTAGACTCAACTATATTTTAAAAAATGTTGCCAGTTTGATACAGAAAGCCCAACTAACTTGGGAGCTGTTTGCTAAAGTTCTCTACAAAAAGCAAAAAAAAAATGTAGAAATAGGAATCATTTGAGTTTCAAGTCTCACCACTGTCACAGTGACGTGGTGATGGAGAGATAATATTCCACAGTGCTTCCTGGTTCTTTTTTTTTCCCATATTTTTTTTTTGTTTGTTTGTTTCTCTGTGTTTGATGTGCTGCTCTCTCAGTGTCCAGTTTTGAAGTCACTTTAAAAACAAAAAAAACAGGGTTGACTTTAGAAGATGCAATATAACGTACTCATTTGGACCTGCATCCTGTTTATGAGATTGCTTGGTAAGCTGTGCTGCAAAATTGCTTTTCTAAAAGCCTCAGAAAAGAGGGGGAGAGGTGTGCCAAAGTGTGCATCTGCAGGCCGGAGATAAGGCCTAGACTTCCTGGTCAAGGTGCACAGGTACTGCTCTCCTCCCCTTGCTGTACCTACAAGCGCCAAGTGCTCCCTGGCCCTGATTCTCAGGAGCCCAGAGTGGCCGAGCCTCCAGAGTTAATCACAGACGTAGCAGGTTCAAAATGGAGACACTTCCAGATTTCACATGGACATTTTTTTGTCCTTAAGGTTTTATGGTTAAATGCTAGGGAGAGTCTGCTGCCTTGTTTTTGGACACTCCCCAAGGAGTTCTGATTGCATAAGATCATGTTGTTACTTTCAGAGACGTGACAGTGATTTATTTTAAAAGGCAGTGAGTGATAATCGGGATGCCATCTGGCTAATATAAAAATCTAAGGAGCGCATTGAAAGAACATCAAAAGCTTCATAGGTGTAACACGGCACAGAATGGGATCAATTAAAACTAGTCGTTGTCCAACATAACATTTCCCCCTCCCCTCAGTAACATGAACTGTGCTTCTTGGTTTTCTGAACACGACCCTATACGCAGCAGGACCAGCATGTGCCATCCTGAGACCAGACATAGCAGGTGCTCAGTAAATGTTTGGGTGTGGTCTTGGCCTACATGGAAGAAGAAATTTTTTCTCTTATGTGTTTTGGATACAGGAAAAGTTCCTCTTCTTCCTGTCCCCAGCCCATTTTCCTTCGTGCTTGAAATTCCACCTAGATATGATTTCTTTTGCATTAAGGCTTTTGGTAGTGACCCTCATTAAGATGGAAATGAAAAAGTTTGCACCCAAGGAGTTGGATTCAAGGTGTCATTAATTATTTAATGTCAATCATTTTTATCTAACTTGTTTTCTAACTTGCCAAAGTTCTTCTTGGCCAGCTGGGAGTCTCATAAAAGTCAAAGGTAACAAATTGGGAGGGATAGAAGGACACGTTTTATTCTCTTCTTGGTTTTTCTCAGGCTTGGCACTGTCTGTGCAGCTCTTGTCCAATTCAATTACTTTTTCTACCCTATTTTTTTCAACAACACAATGGCCTTGGCTTTTTCTTCTATATCTGCAGCATCTTTTTATCTGTTATTTTTCCATGGTCATTTCCTATCTTGCCCTGGCTAACTTGCTGTTTGAAATGAAGCCTGGCCTTCAATAATTCTGACTAGTTATCCTTCAAAGCAGTGGTTCTCAAAAGATCAATATCAACTGGGGAAGGGGACTGGAGCTCGTGAAAAATAGTCTCCCCAGATTTATCTCAGATTGGGAACCCAGAATAAATAATTGTGTTGAAGTTAGCACACTGCTGATCTGGAATTTGGAAACCTTTAGGTCAGTGTTGAACTTTTTATAAGCATAGTAATGATGTAGGTGGGCAGTCTGGTTTAAAAATCGACATTCCTGGGCCTTCTCTGCCCTCAGAGAGTTGATGTAGAGGGTCTGGGGTCAGGGTGGGGCTGGGGTCTGCCATTTTCCTGCCATGCAGGAATTCTGGGGTCACACTTTGAGAAACCCCACAGGAGGCTGTACCTCTGCAGTTTTGCCTTCAAGGAACTTGGTACTACAGGGTGAAAGGAAATATCATTCTGGCACAACTACATTTTATCTAACAGCCAATTTGAGCCCTCTCTTCTTATTCAGTTGGAAATGAGGACTTCTCATGGGCACTTCTTTCACTACCATTATTCTAAGGAATGCCCTTCTCCCTCTCCATGAGCCTCTGGGAATATGGACTGAAGAGGTTGTTTGGGTCCTGCCTTTTGAGCTTAGTGTAGTGGAGCAGAAACAATCCAGGCTTCACTGCTTTAGGCCCCAGAATCCTGGGCCGTAACTTAGTCCTTAGGTGAAGGTAACTCCCACCTTATAGCACCGTCAGGCTTAGATGAGATAATGTGGAAGAGCAGGTGAGCTATGAAGTACCACCCAAGTTTTTCTCTTTGGTGGTTGATTGAGGGAGCAAAAGTCCAAATAGAGAAAAAAGTAACAGCCCTGAGCATTTCACAAAGAAATGATTGCAACGTCAACCTATCCACATACTGTCTGGGCCACCACAAATTAAGGACTCTGAGATGTAGAATCTAGTTGATGAGAACTACCAAGATACTCATTTAATAGAAGTGTCATTCACATTTTTTTTTTTTTTACTATGAACAAACGTAAGAAAATTATTCTGCATTGCAATAGAGAACACATACATATATGTAATTTAACCACTTCGGGACCGCGCTCACCGGCCGCGAAACCTTGCCCACAGCTGGCACTCATAGTCCGCATGATAGATTGTGCTGTGCATTGACCACGAATCCGTTTTGCTCTTGTGTGATGAGGAAAGCTTTAAAGCACTGAAAGCTTGTTTTACTTTACAGGCAGCTTTACTTGTAATGTAAATCAGAATAGGTAACATATACATATATGTTTTCATTATGTTATTTTTAAATGTTCACAATTTTATTTTGATACATGAAAAATTAGAAAAGTCATATCACGGCTGTTGGCTAAAGTCGCTGTGTGCGTTCATCTGTGGCTGTGACTATAGTCGATGCTGGTCTTGAAGTGGTTAAGTAAGTTCCATGAAACAATTCATGCTTCCTATGCTGACATTTTCTGCTCTGCTTCCAATAACAATAAAAACAACAACAAAAATTCTGGAAGCTACTATCTAATTTCAAGACCCACTAATTGGTCACAGTAGATAGTTTGAAAATCATTGCACTAGAAGGTGCCCAGTTTTCAATATCTAAGAGAGAGATCATTAAAAGGATTGGTCTTTAAACTCTTGTATAAGATTTTAATGTAGCAAGAGAAAGCTACGCCTCAGATCAGTTGGCCATTTGGTCTGAGTTGATTTTCTTCCAGGAGTGTGGATATCTGGGTATGGATTCCCACTATGGAATGCAATTTCATAGTTGAGTCAGTGTTGTACAGTTGCATGGGGCCCCTGGGTAAGGGCAGAGAGTAGATGCTAATTGAGTAGAAGTGTGGGATCTTTATCAAAGTAAATTAAAACTCAACTGCAATTGTATATGAATTGTATATGTTTGCCATATAAGCGTATATGTGCCATATAAGCTGGTAGGCAGATCTTATTGCTCTACCTGTGAGCTTGGAATTGTGTTTCCTTGAGTGCAACCAGAGTTGTTCAATAGGCATTAACATTGGATCAACTAATTAGGTCCAGCCTCATAGTTCAGAAAGCATCTGCAACTTTGTATGTTCTGGTGCCAAGTTTCCATTTTTAACTGATTGTCCTTTGAGGAGAAAGATTAATAAATCAAATGAGGGAGAAAAATAAGTTCTTGCCAAATCCCCAAACAATAGGTATTGTTGAGCTCTGGTTCTTTGGAAACAACAATTCTAAATTTCTGTTCTTCATTGATTTTTCTACTTTGTTATTGGAAAACATTCACATTACAAAGCCCAGATGATTAGGAGAATGCCACTAATGGAGGAGAACAAGGCAATACTTGTGAATTTAATTCTTGTTTTTCATGTGATGGACAGAGTGGAGTATTGGCAAGAAAGCAAGGAAATTTTGCTCACTGTGTTTAAAGATGCATTTTGTTGAGTCAACCGTTTTTTTTTTTAATTGCCAGAGGGAACAAAATATTTCAGCAGGTAGAGAGGGTTAGTCTGGCCTTTGTTTAATTCACTTCAAAATGATAATTTAAAAAGAGATTGTAAGGGAAGAGGACTGGAGCTTTCCTCAATTTGTTCCATAAGTTAGTTATACACCATTGCCAGTAAAGAATATTTACAATTTTTAAATTATCTCATATAGTATAAGTATTGTATTATGGTTATATTTAAGTACACAGGTATTTATTTGCTTGTTTATTTTTGTCTACTCATTACACTGTGAATTTCTCAGAGCAGGGTCCAGATCTTTTTCAAATTTTGTGTCCCTTAGAAGCAGTGCTACTCAAAGTGTAAGTCTCCAAATCGTAACTTGTCTGAGACAAGAAGAAACAGAAATAGGAAGCAAGCACTTAATAACTTTAATAGGAATTTGGCAATGCTGTGACATTTTTGCCAAAGTATTGGCCCACAATGGATTGGAAATAAAAAAATAAACTAGTTTGTCCAGGACCCCCAGACAGCCAGAGAGTGTGAGAAGCAGAGCTCCAACACCTAATGCAGTATGCAGTACGTGGATGCAATAAATAAATAAATGCTCGTTAAATAAATGCTCAATAAATTATTTCAGGGACCAGACCTGCTGTGGGAACAGAGTTAATATTTCAATTCAAACATTTTTTGAGTGTCTACTCAGGTTTACTCTAGTACTATGGCAGTATATCAAGAAAAAGAAATTATAGTTATTTCTACTCATGGAATTAGTAACTAATCAAAAGATATCAGAGGTACAAAGGATTACACAGCAGTGTGAGATAAGATATAGTTGGTTACCAAAACCTCAGAATGAAGAGTCAACATTATGCATTAAGGTAGGAACAAGGCACGTGGGTGAACTTGGCTGAGAAGGCTCATGGAGCCGGAGGGACCTGACTTGGGCAGTGAAGGATGAGTAGGAGTTGAAGATGGAAAAAGCATTTCAGGCTGGGGGGTGGGGCAGGGTGGGAATAGCTGAGAACAGGAACACAGGCTCCCTCCTACACTAGAGTGAGGGAATGGTCCTACTCCAGACTCCAGATCTTCCTAGGCAGCACGGAGCACTGGAGATTTTTCAGTATGGAAGAGCCAAGAATTTTTCATAAGGCTGATCAAGATGTTCTTTGAAAAGGAACCCTTTCCTTTCAACAAGATCAAGAAAGTCTAAGGCCAATGTAGTAAGCCAAATGGGAGCTGGTGGGTTTAGGACTGCCCGAAGCAGAGAAAATGCAGAGAGGCATGTACTGGAATCTCCAAAAACAATTCAGCAATCTTGGTGCCCAATGTCCCCTGGAGTCCCCTGTGAACACTTAGGTCCTTGCTAAGATCTTGTTAGCCTAGGTGATAAAGAGCAGTGGAGGCAAAAAAGAGAGTCCCATCTGGTTCTTAGGTTTTAAGTTCATATGATATAATATATATAACCAATATAATAACATTGGTATCATTACCTGGTAGACATGTTGGGAATCAGAGTTGGTTTGGGAAAGAGTAGCGAGGATTGCTACTCTTTTTAGTTTACGGTGCTAGTCTTCAGGTAATTCTAGATTCTTGCTGATACTGCTATATCAGAGGCTTGGATCTGATGTGATTTTTGTTCCCTCTCCCCAGGTGTGACGAAGACACTGTCTCTCTACATGAAGACCAGATTGACTGCTCCAGTCTCAGGTTCGACCCACCATTGCTTGGTTCATGTTTGTGAGAGACAGAAACCACTAGGGTTTGGTGGCTCTCCTTTGAATTCTAGTCTCTTCTTTGAATTTTAATTACTTGTTCTCATGACTCATTTCTTCTACTAGGTTTTCAGCTCTTGAAGGAAGTGTTGTCTTGTTCACTTTTAGATACCCCCCTTAGCACCCAGGGCAGTTCCTTGTATATGGGGGATGCTCAATAAATGCCTGTTGAATTGAACATTGATTAACCCATCTCAGTGTTTCCATGATGCACCATAAGGAAGAGGTTCTAGATTATTCACCATACATGTCATTGAGTGTCTGTAGTATGGTCTTGCCCACAAAGGGCTCATTATACAGTGGCAAAACCTTCACAGTTAACCATTTCTTCCACATTTACTTTGTCCCATACACTTTTCATCTACATTTTATTATTTAATCTAAACAACTGAAAGGAAGCTGATATTTTCTTCATTGTCCTATAGATGGAGAAACTGAGGCTCAGAGGGATTTTTAGCTCCTTCAAGGTAACATAGCTGAGTGAGCACTATGAGGCAGAATTTGGACCCTGGTCTGTCTGACTCTAAAGTTCACTTATTGGAGAACAAACATATGTTGAAAGCCTATTTTCTGTGCTAGAAACCAGTCAAGATTTGGGATAGAAAAGACAAACCAATTCCCTCCCCTAGGATTTCAGTCTGCTGGGGGAGATAGGCAAGAATATAGATGATGACACTACTGGGCATTAAGTGCTGTTATACTAGAGCTAAGCAGAGGATTCACTTAGAAGGACCAAATAGCTTGCAGAGCATTCTGGGATGGATTCCTGAAGAAAATTACATGTGGCACATGACCTTTTAAATTTTTTTTGGGGGGGGGAGGTATGGGGTCTAAGGTTAAGAGAAAGATCATGCCACCAAACAGAGAGAACAGCTTACAGGGAAGCCAACAGAAGGTCGAGAGAGAAGTTTGAGTTGAAGGAACAGTAAGCAGTTGACGGTGGTAGGAACTCTGGGGGGGATGCAATGAGGAGGTCAGGGGTGATAAAAATTAATCTCTAGAGATAAACGAAGACCAGATTTCACAGAGTTTGTGTGTCTTGCTAAGGAGTTTGGAATTTATTTTGGAAATACTAGAGAAACTAAAAAGACCCCTCAGTTTTTTTCTTTGCAAATTACTACTCTAAGGCCCTGCCTGAGAGTAACAATAGCTTTCATTTATTGGGTTGTGGCCTGGAGCCAGTTTTCTATGGAGGGCATTTCACAGAGACTGTGTTTCTCTGCAAGGCAGATATTATATCCATTTTATGAATGAGGATCGTAGAGGTGAAGTGACGTGGCCCAGGCTACACAGCTGATACGTGGGAGGACCTTTCAGACTCTGGCTGTTTTCAGGACACCATGCTCATTCTCAGTTACGATTTATCCCAATAAGTAGTGGCATAAATTACATAACCTGTACTTTTTAGTTTTTGGGATCCTGAGGAACCCATAATATGTTAGAAAATATATTTCTAAAGATGACTTTTGTGATCAGGTTCCACATTTGTGTCATGGGACACTTTCTGTCCCCTCCTCCCTGTCTTCCAAGTCAAGGAGGTGAACAAGACACATTTATAAATTTTAGGTGACTTGAAAATATGGTTTAAAAACAAAAAGTTCAGGTATTATTTGGGGACTAATGAGTCTATCAAAAGAGTCATTTTAGATTTGAAAAACTCCTTTTTTTTAACCCTTTTTTCTTGAGTGTTCTGGAATCCTACTCGAATAAGCATTTAGGTAGCTGTAAAGGCAGCTGTTCTTTTTTTTATGTCTCACACAGGAACACAGAGTGGATGGGTTTTTAGTGAAAGAAACGCACTTCAAATGAATTAGTGTAATTTCCAATTCATGGTTTACTATTAATTCCAAAACCAGTAGTGACTTTAAAAACAATTTTAATTGTAAATGATCATAAGGGAAGAATATCAACCAGTGTCACTGGTATTGATTTTTATTTTTTTCAGTTACTAAGATTGAAGAATTATTTAACTTGTTGGATTCTCTTTTACCAGACAGCACTAAGTTTGTCCTGGACCTACGTTTAACTGTTTCACACGGTTTTATTTTCAAACCTTGCCCAAACGTACCCTGGTCATGCTCCAGATCACCTATCCCAATGTTTGCTTTGGTCTTTTCCCAGAGACTAACGGAAGTTCATCTTCCCCTGAAAGCAGCTTAGTGAGTTTAATCTCCTTTTTACTTATGAAAGGGTGTCTTAAGTGGTGGGCATAGAAATCCCTCCTTGGCTAGTCTTGCCTCTTGGCTTTATGTGTCCTTGAGCAGCAAGGAATTTGCTTCCCTGCTGACCTTGCAAAAGCTCTTTGATGAGTGCTCACGGTTAAGGGAGCATGAGGGGGAAGTGGCCACTCCTCAAGAATTGCATGACCGAGGGCTAATGATTGCCAATGGTCGAGTCTGATGATATTGATCATAGAAAGAGAAGGCCTCATTGGGGTATGTCCATGGCATTGGCTTGATGCTTAGCAAAATGAAAAAATAAAATGTGTCTAGATTTAAGTGAGACAAATGGCTTCAGAGAAGAAAGAGTGTTATGATGTCAGTATTTTTGAGAAAATTGAAACTGGAGAGGGGTAGGTATATTGTCTGGCATTTGGTTGTTGAGTGGAGAGTACAGGTGCCATCCCAGCACGGAGCGCGTGGAGGAAACACCAGCCTATCTGGTCTGCAGTGATTTGGCACTGCTGGAACCCAGACGGTGGGATGTTCGACCCTGCCTTCAGGGCATTGTTCTGATGGCCTGCCTGGGCAAAATATGGCCATTGGCTTACATTTCATCCAGGTAACGTGTATCCTGTCAAAATTGATCCTGTTAAACTTTTAAATGCCGCTGAAAGTTGTAGGGAGATGATTATAAACAGGCCAATGAAGGGGAAGCATCATGTCTTGAAGAACACAGGCGTGAGAGTCCGGACATCTACCTGACGCCTCTGAGTCTACCTGAATTAGCTCTTCTAATAGGCATGTCATTTAATCTCTGGGTCTGAGAGTCTTCATCTATAAAGTTGGGGTGACAATATCTAAACCCATCTCACATTATTATCGTGAGAGGAAAATATGAAATACATGAACACACCTTAAAGTGAAAGATGAAAACCAAATAATGATAGTATGAAAATGTAGATAGTGACAACTACAACAAGTATGTATCCACTATCAAAGATAGCAAGGCAAGGTGGGGTGATCGAAAGAGTGAAATTCACATTTCTTAAATTCTTGTTCCTGCAAAATTCTCTAAGTGGAAGCTAAAACATTTTGCTAGGTACCCTATAAATGTAGCAGCAATGAATATCGCCAGCCCCTCTTTCCCGCAGCAGTATTTTATTTTATTTTATTTTATTTTATTTTATTTTATTTTATTTTATTTTATTTTATTTTATTTTATTTTATTTTATTTTATTTTATTTTATTTTATTTTATTTTTAATGCTTTCTAAATCGGGTCTTTCCTGTTTTAGAGATGAGAACAATAAGGAGAATTACCCGGACGCGGGGGCTCTGGTAGAGGAGCTCGCGCCGCCCGGCCCGCGCGAGGCGCCGCAGCATGTAGAGCAGACCGTGCTGGTGGACGGCGTGCTGCGACCCAGCATGGGCAACTTCAAGTCCCGCAAGCCCAAGTCCGTCTTCAAAGCGGAGAGCGGGAGGAGCCACGCGGAAAGCCAGGTAGCGGCTCCATCTCCTCGGGCCTTTGCCAAGGCAGGTGCTTCTCAGGGGCGGGCACAGAGTTCCGGCAGACGATTTGAGTGCATGATGTCGCAGGAGGCGGTTAGTGTCACTTGTCATTGCCTGCACTGCAGCCCTGAGACATGCGGATGCTCTCGTTGGTTAAAAGTTGGGGGTGCTCTGAGCCGGCTAGCAATTGCGCACCCTTTCAAACTGATGTTCTGCAATACTAGATCTTGATTGCAAAGAGCAGCTATATACTCTTTTGCGGGGAGAGGAAGGGAGGAGGAGGATCTCTCTGTTTTCATTAATCCAGGACGAGTTAGCTCTTGCCCCAAACTTGGAGATTTGGCTCAGCAAAATCAAGAGGCCCAGTTTTACCCAGAGGCATTTTTTTTAGGCTGCAATTTAGTAGCCTTGAACAAACACGGAAGAGTGTGTGTATGTGTTTGTGTGTGTTTGTATGTGTGTGTGTGGTATCTGGTTTTCTGACGTCAATAAGTATTTAAATGAATGAAGGAACCATCTTTCCAATAAATTCTGGTAATAAATTGACATTTTATAAATTTAAAAAATGTTTTTTCTAGTTGTATAGGAATGTAGCATAGATTTGTGATTTTTTTAATCCTCAAAATCCCTCGTATAATTTATGATGCTTTTAAAAGAGATTAAATGAATATAATCTACTTTAATCTTACTAGGAGGTTAATATTCTTAACATTGAGATTATACTTGTAATAAACCTAACATAGTTTTGGGGATATGGATGTTCTATAAATGTTAACTTAGCTTCTTTGTTAACATTTAGCTGTTAATTTTAAAAATAATGTAGGAGGCACTAAGCATAATAGGTTAATTATGTAATAACTTTTAAGTTCAGTCCTATTTAGCCAAGGGGCACTAGGAGATCTTCCTGTTAGAACAACTTTGGCTGGGCAGTTTGTTTGACCTTGCAATTTTGTTATTTGCCTTATGATTTTTATCTCCCTTCCTCCTTGACATTGTGACCCCTTATTTAGTAAGTTAATTTGGCAGTAAGATGAAAATGCCCTCTGCATTCATGAAGCTGTGTTGCGATTATCTTAAGCTGAGTATCACTCTCATTGCAAAGAGGTGAATACTAACTATTGTTTGAGTTATGATAAGCTTGAGGCTTTGACTTGTGGAACTTCTAATTAGGAGACTTGTGCTGGAGAGAACAGGTTCCCAAAGGGCTGCCCCCAGAATCTGACCGATCCCAGGGAGGCTCTGACCATGAATCTCCTACCAGGGGTCACCTGTGACATTGTAAGCTTAAGGGTGATCACACATCTCTCCTCAGAGTGCCCTATTTCTTGTCATCTTGTAGTTTGGCCTGATAGAAATTACACAGTCATCACTTGTAATAAGGTGCTAATGGAGCATGTAATTCCCAACCTGTTGCTCATACACGGGAAGATTGCAGGAGAGAAATATACTTGTATAGTCTTTGCTTATTATACAGCATTGGAATCCTGGACTGCAGGTGAAATTCCCAGTGAAAATTAAGTGGCCTATTCTATCTGATTCAATGAGCTTCATTCTCAAATGCCTTGTGTTCCAGGCAAGATGTTGTTTGCATAATGGATTTTCCCAATTATATCCTGGTTAAAAGGAAGACAGATTATTATATTATTGAATGCATACAAATAACCCAGTTGCCACAGAAAATAAGGACACTTGGTATAGTTTCTGAACTCTGAGGATTGGTGAGACTCAGATATAATTTTGAAACGTTTCATTTCAGTTTACATAATCAGCATCTAGTATTCATCTATTGTTATGGGTTATAGATGGTTGAAGGAGAAGGAGAAAGGACTTCTTATATATTCAGAAAGTAGAACAATAAAACACTCTACTAAACAAATAACTATAATAAAAATTTCCTTTATCAGTCTCCTCAGGCTTATGTAATTAATTCTTGTTTCTCTTGATCTTGGGTTAGTGCGGTATCATGAAGCTATCTGATTCTCACTAAAGTTTTGCCAATCCTGACTCAGCCCACTGTTGTCATAAGATGCCTGTGTCCAAGTACTGTGCCCCAGTACTGTCCCTTGAAGTGTCAATTGTTTAAGGTATTGGTCCTTTACCATGGGGCTCCTGAGATTCTTCTCTGCTGAAAACACAAACTCTGGCCTAAAGCTGAGTACAACCTCAGGCAAGCATGGGAGGAAAACAAAACGATCTACAGATGACAGAAACTGAAATGGCTGTGGTTAGCTTACTACTGATAATAAAAGTGCAAAAGGTCTAAGGAGAGTTCATATTAAGAACAGCATATAATGTGACGTGCAAAAGAAGACGATAAAATCATTTCCCCCAAATTAGACAGAATGTCTTGAAGAATAATGAATAAGCCTATTTTCAGAGAAGTCAGGTAATGTGACTTCTGCTTGTACAAAGATGAATGAATATAGTTTTTACAGAGGAAAAAATCCTCAAGAGATAATGTAGTAATCCTAAAAGATTCGTTAAGGCTAGAGTAAGTCCTAGACATGTGTATTTTTATTAAACTACATAGGCAAGTCTAATGTGCATTCCTGATTGAAAACTGGTGGCCCAGAGGATGCTAAATTCAAATGAAAGAAGTAAGGCTGTGAACAAGTCAGCATTTTAAATAACTACACTTATCACTGATAACACTATAATATTTTTATCTTATATCATCAAGCAAAGATCCAGCAGGACTTGGACAAATATAGGAGAATTTGATAGAACTATTTCATTAAAATTTTGATCACAGGGTAAATGTCGCATTAATTAGGTTTACCATGCAGTGTGGTAGGGAGAGTGGCACTGTTTGTAAAGCTGGATCTGTTTGGGGAACTTGAGTTTATGTTGTAGCTATACTATAAGTCCTGCCAGATGCCCATCACCATCAAAAAGACAATGAGTTCCAACTGCTTTGTTGTGAGATCGGCATTTCCCAAAATCACCTGTGAAAAATCTTGGGGCACAACCTTTATAAATTTAAAAATAGCCCTCTTTGAAACTGAAGAGTACCATTGTAGGTGTTGAGTTATTGCCATTTCTGGGCTCTCTTTTCACAAAGTTTGTATGCAGGACCTTGGAGTGGCTTTTCAGTGGATTCCTAACCAGGTCAGGAATGGGGGAATGGAGCAGAGAGAAGGAGCCAGACGGTGACTGTTGAAAGTATAGCCTAATGCCCCACATTTCTTACCTTTCTTCTTATCAACCCCAAAGTCAGAATCAGAAGTTCCATCTCTTGAGGGTCAGATTCTGATATTACTTTGAGCAACTTTCTTAATCTTGACCACATCTATGAGAATGAACTATGGGTAGAGTGGCAGAATCTGAGATTTTGTGAGCATGCATGAATGACTGGTTCCAGTTTTGCATTCACTTTGAATGATTAAAAAGGGGAGAGATTTAGGTATATTTACTGATCAAATAGAGTATCAGGAATCAACCAGGAAGGCAATGCAAGAAGCTAAAAAGTTAAGAACTTCTTCCTCAAAGAAGTAAAGATATTTAGAATAAGAAGAGTGTTTATCTGAACCAGAGTCAGTTTTTCTTTCTGCTTGTTTATCCCTTTCTTCCTTAGACAATAGTTTTTGCAAAAGAATGGCTCTGAATAAGGACCATTTAACGACCTGCCTCCTGAAAGGCCAGGTTTTAGGAATGCTATTATTAGAGTTCATCAATATGATGAACTTGAAGTTAAAACAAGATTTATGAGTTGGTGCTAAGCATAAACTCCTGATCAAAGTGAAATCCAATAATAGTTTGCCCTTATGTGGCATGTCTTATTAGATAGCAAACGCTTTCCAAGGAGGAGAACTGATTCAAGGCATGGATTATATGGTAATATTTTATGAAAAATTAAAAATGATCCTGTATTGATCATCATGCAAGTCATAATATTAATCTCTGAAAACCCAATTTGGGGAAGATTAGACTGGACTAATAGAATCAGCTTCCTCTGTTGGACCTGATATCTGTCCAGAGGGCATTCATTTTTAGCATTAGTAGATGGAGTCTTGTCATCCTCACTCCCTGCCATCTGGCATCATGCTGTGCACAATGTCCTTCTGTCCTCCCCTCTGGTGGCTATTTTAGCAGAAGACAAAAAGCAGGAGGCTGTATAGAGAGCTTTTCTGCAGTGAGCCGTGTACTGTGATCTTACTGCTAATTTGCTTCTTTGGGGAGACCAGCTGTTTGGTCTGGTGTACATCAGCCTCAGGTTTCTTCCCCTCGGCCCCAGGAGATGTGTTAAGAAGCTGGAAGGAGATCTAGGTCTGATTATGAAATGTTCATTTTTATCTTTCCACAGACATGAAAAGCCCTAAACACTTTCAGGCAAAATAACCTAACTATGAAGTATTTACCATATTTCTGTTTTTGAAGGGTATGATTCTTTTTCATACTGCATTAGACTTTAAATTAAAAGAAAAATGATGGTTAATTCTGGGCCATTTTTATCCCCAAAGAAACTAAGATTCTATTTCCAATTATGGACCTACTTTATGTGCATTTTTTCCCCTTGATCTATGACTGAACCACTGAACAACTTCAGACAGTGAAAGCAAGAAAACTGGGATAGGTGATTGACTTTGAGAGCACTGAAAAGCTAAAATGAGCCTCAGATAGAATTTCACTTGCTTTTCAGTGAGAGGAAGACTTAGGTTCTGAATATGCCTTTGAGACCTTGTTTTTTGCAGTGTGTCTAGAGCATGAATTCGTTGTGATTCTAACTCTTGGTCTTAGTTAGGAAACTGTTATAACACATTAGTTTGTGTCGTATTATTTCTCATATGTGATTTTGCAGCTCCAGTATAGATGTTTTACTTTGATTTCTGTTTGTGTGTGGATTTGCTGGAAGATCTGTTACTGGTCGGGAAGAAAAGTGGTCCTTTGCGTTTGTTTTCTGAGTTCCCCTCCACCCTTACAGTAGCAAAATGGTGAAGACTCAGGGGAATGGGGCTCTGAGAAATGCAGTATCCTTGAAACTGAGGCCAGCTGAGTCAAAGTTTGGGTTTACTGGTTTCTTATGG